TATCTGTCTGAAGCCTAGTTGTCTCAGTATTTTTAGAGAAATGCAGCAAAATCACACAGGTTCTTGTGACAGGAAGTGGATTCTGAAAACCACGAATCGAGGCCAGCTGTGAGGAGCATAGTCCTGGATACTGGGACTCACTCATGGCAGATATAAGCCCCTAGACACATACACAGCCCCTCCATGTGTGGGTTCATTTTACATCTGTAAATGAAGAAACCGCGACTTCTAAATAACACCATTTATACACATAGGTAAACATAATTAAAAATGTGACAGTTGTTAAATGTTTATTACAGAACAATTTCACAATAAGACAGCACATTTTCCCAAACACAATCATTGTCATCAAAATCCCCCAGGACACTCTCATCTGCTCTGGGCACTGCCCTCTCCTCAGGCGTCCAGCCCCAGAGCTTGCTACATAGTAGCAGACATGCAAATAGGGCCCTCCCTCTCCTGATGAAAACCAGCCCAACCCTGACCCTGCAGCTCTGGGAGAGGAGCCCCAGCCAGGGATTACCAGGTGTTTCTATTCAGTGATCAGCACTGAACACAGAGGACTCACCATGGAGCTTGGTCTGACCTGGGTTTTTCTTGTTGCTATTTTAAAAGGTGATTAATGGAGAACTAGAGATATTGAGTGTGAGTGGACATAGTGAGAGAAAGAGCGGGTATGTGTGGCAGTTTCTAACCTTGGTGTCTTTGTGTTTGAAGGTGTCCAGTGTGAGGAGCAGCTGGTGGAGTCTGGGGGAGGCTTGGTCCAGCCTGGGGGTTCCCTGAGACTCTCCTGTGCAGCCTCTGGATTCACCTTCAGTACCTACTGGATGTACTGGGTTCGCCAGGCTCCGGGGAAGGGGCTGGAGTGGGTCTCAGCCATTAGATATGATGGGGGTAGCATATACTACGCAGACTCCGTCAAGGGCAGATTCACCATCTCCAGAGAGGATGCCAAGAACACACTGTATCTCCAAATGAATAGTCTGAGAGCTGAGGACACAGCTGTATATTACTGTGCAAAAGACACACAGTGAGGAGAAGTCAGTGTGAGCCCAGACACAAGCCTCCCTGCAGGAACGCTGGTGGGAAATGAGCTGCAGGGGGTGCTCCGGAGCCACTGATCAGAATCAACCCCAGAGGCAGGTGCAGATGGTGGCTGATTTCCTGTCAGGATGTGGGACTTTGTCTTTTTACAGTTTCTTTAGTGAACTTCTCTAAGTTCAGAATTCTGTGCTTACAGAGATAGTCATCTCTGCATATTTTAAAAATTATTATTTTAATATGAGAAGCTGTTCTCAGATGCACAAAATGCAGATTGATGCTTTCAGAGATGAAAAGTCCTCCACCACAGTCACCACGACCAGAGTCCTGAGGTAGCTCAGGGCTTCCTGGTGAGCCTTCTCCAATCAGAGTCAGGACAGGGACTTCAGAAAGATTATCTGACTAGAACAGTCTTTAGGGATTCTGATTACAGCCAGGAGAGAGCCTGGGCCAGGGTCAGTGTCATGTAGAACCTCACAGGTTTCGTGTCTGATCCTTCTCCTGACACTACAGTGTGACAATCACAATCAGCACTGATCTGGTGATGCTTTTGCCTGCCATCTATGTTTCTCCTTTTTCTTTTCAGTTGTTGTTCTTCCTTTATCATTGGCTTTTTCTGCTCCCTGCAAAGTAAAATGTGGTTTCTGTGGTCTAAATTCCAGGGCTCAAGCTCTATTTCCTGGAGCTCAGGTGACTCTCTGGCTGTGGCTCCTGCAGCCACGTGTGGGAGACTGATGAGACTTTCGTCACTCTCATTGCTCAGGACCCTACACTGAGTTGTGTTTAGACTCATCTGGGAATCCACATGGCTGGTGGGAACTGCAGGGGATAAGCTTGCTTGGTCAACATGAGATGTGGATGTGGAATTGATCCTGTGCTGGGCAAACTGTCATTGAGTCACCTTCTTCAGCAGTAGGGTTGTGAAGTGGGAGTCAATGTTGTCAGAATTAAAATGGAGCCACCAGTGAAAGAAGCTGGAGAAGGCCATGAGGGAGGGTTCTCACACTCATCCCTGATAACAAGAACGTTCATAAATAGACTGCAAAACCACAACCTTGCACAAAGACCACTACAACTATAAATTAATTTCTTCTCCAAGTACATCTGCCAGCAATGCCTGTCCAACCTTACACTGACGTCACCCTTGTTGTCCATCCTTCTAGCCCAGGATAATTGTCTCAAACTGTTCATGTAACCCTCCTCATTTTTCTTTCAAATCCCTGGTCTTCATTTCCCTGAATGCACCAGGCATGTTCCCATTGTGATGGCCATCCTGAAATAAATATTATTTTTTTGTCTTTTTTTCTGTCTGTTTTTCAGGTTTGACAAACTACAGATGGACACGCCACTTTTCTGTGAGACGTAGAGGATGACAGTTTGAGGGGATGGCAAGGGAAGTTCAATGTCCATGAGACAAGTCATCAGTACGTGCAGGCTGGACATCGCAGAGAGAGCTGCGGTGACAATCACCATGGAATGTCACCTACTCCAGTTCTGCTCTGATGGAATCAGGCCCACCCAGGTTATCAATGACAATCTTCCTAACCTAGAGTCAGCTGATGACACTTTTAATAACATTTATAAAGTATATTTACAACACCATCTAGGATAGTGTTGGATTGACTAACTACAAAGTATAGCCTAGCCAAATGTACCCTAAAATGTACAACTGCCCAGGGAGAGGAGCTTTAACATGAGATCTATGTTCTTACAATTTTGTAAGGGGTAAAGCTGAACATCTTACAATTAGGCTATGATCATTTTGCTAGCGAGTTTTAAAATGTACATGTATAGTTTGGATGTTCACACTTTTTCAGATGCATGGCTTGCAACTATATTCTCCCTTCTGTAGGTTGGAATTTTTTCCTTGCTTTGCAGGATCTTTCTATTCTGAGGTTGTCCCACTTGTTCAATTCTGCTTTTGTTGTCTGTGCTTTTAATGTAAAATCTAGAAAATCATTTCTATATTTTTTTCTTTTGGCTGGAGAGAAAATTTTACAATTGTAGGCCATACGTTTAACACTTTAACTCATTTAGAATTGATTTTTGTATTAATCCTAACCTAAAATTCTTAATTCTCTCCATGTGCAAATCCAGCTTTTCTAATACCATCTTTGGGAGAGACTATGGCTTAGCCTTTATATATTCTTGGTTTTCACCTTGGAAACTAATTTGCCATTAATATATCAGCTTCCTTCTGACCTCTCTACATATGTTTATGCCAATAACATCTTGTTTTTATTACTCAATTTTGTTATTAATTTGAAATTTAGAAGTAAGATGTCTCCAAGTTTATTGTTGCCTTGTTACAAATATTGGAACAAAATATTTTAATCTCTCACTAGTAAGTAGGTTAATAGCTATGGTTTTTCATAATGACTTTTATTATTTGCAGGTTATTTTCTTGTATGACTGCTTTGTATAGAGTTTTTATCATGAAACTTTGCATTTTAAAACGTAACTTTTTGTGTCTGGTGAGAAATAGATGGAATTTTTTCTTTTATTCTCTTAATTTGGCATACCAAATTTATTGATTTGAGGACATTGAATTATTACTGCATCTCAAAGTAAATTTGAATTGGTAATGGTGTGTGACTCTTTTGAAGTCTTGTGGAAGATAATTGATTATTATTGGGCAGGTGGTTTATTTATGTATATTTGGAATATTGTTCTGTAGCTAATTTTACCAAAGACCGTATATATATTTCTGTCTCCTCCATAGGAAAATCTGAGATCTTCACCCCTTTACAGAGCTGCTTCACCATTCTGGACACTGAGGGAATGTCAGAGGCTGTGTCAGGTCATAAACATCAACGGCACCAGTGTTTCTGAGGATGGAGACGCTAACCCTAACCAGCCAAAGCAGAGACCCGCATGGGGCAGAACATCCGTGTGTAACCCTAACCATGTGGCCATTTTGCCAAATACTATACATATACTATATGTTATATATAATATATGTATAATATATATAAGCTTTATGATTTCTACAAAAATGTCTGTTGGATATCTATATGTAAATATTGCAAGATAAACCTCAGTAGATACCATAACATTAGTTTGAATAACTGTGTTGAAGGTGATCACTTTCACTCAAGGTGTAACAACTGAGACCAGATGTATCTTTCCAACAGAAATAGCTGGAAACCACAGTGAAATTTCTTTTTTTTTAAATTATACTTTAGGTTCTGGGGTACATGTGCAGATCATGCAGGACTGTTGCGTAGGTACATTCACGGCAAGGTGGTTTGTGGCCTCCATCCCCACATCACCTATTCCTGACATTTCTCTCCACGTTACCCTTCTCACCCTCCCTCCCACTATCCCTCCGCTAGCCCCCAACAACAGACCCCAGTGTGTGATGTTCCCCTCTCTGTGTCCACATGTTCTTATTGTTAAACACCCCCATGAGTGAGAATATACGGTGTTTGATTTTCTGTTTTGGGGTCAGTTTGCTGAGATTGATGGTTTCCAGTTTCATCCATGTCCCTATAAAGGACAAGAACTCATCATTTTTTATGACTGCATAGTATTCCATGGTGTATATGTGCCACATTTTCCTTGTCCAGTCTATTGTTGATGGGCATTTGGGTTGATTCCAGGTCTTTGCTATTGTAAACAGTGCTGCAATAAACACATATGCATGTGTCTTCATAATAGAATGATTTATAATCTTTGGGTATATACCCAGTAATGGGATTGGTGGGTCAAATGGAATTTCTATTTGTAGATCCTTGAGGAATTGACACACTGTCTTCCACAATGGTTGAACTAATTTCCACTCCCTCCAACAGTGTAAATGTGTAACTATTTCTCCACATTCTCTCCAGCATCTGTTGTCTCCAGATTTTTTAATTATGCCATTCTAACTGGCATGAGGTGGTATCTCAATGTTGTTTTGATTTGCATTTCTCTAATGACCAGTGATGCTGAGCATTTTTTCATATGTTTGTTGGCTTCATACATGTCTTCTTTTCAAAAGCGTCTGTTTATATACTTTGCCCACTTTTGGGTGGGTTTGTCTGTTTCTTTCACAGTGAAATTTCTTAAACACATTTTAAGCTGTTTGACATCAGGCAACAAAGGCCGTGACCAATGAGAGGAAGAAAATAAACAAAAGGAGCCCTTTGATGAATGCACACTCAGACACTTCCCTAAGGGAGTCTCCAGGCCACAGAATTGGAGAGAGCCAGGTAAATTTGGAGTTGAGGAAAGGAAGCCGGAAACAGAGAGGCCCAGACGTGTGAAGACCAGAGAATAGACAGTGGATGGCAGAACACTGTTCAGAGAGAGAGCCCCGCAGATGGCAGGAGGGAGAACCAGGCTTCACAGAGTGCAGGTCAGTGAGTGGGAGACCCAGGCTTCGCAGAGTGCAGGTCAGTGAGAGGGAGACCCAGGCTTCGCAGAGTGCAGGTCAGTGAGTGGGAGACCCAGGCTTCGCAGAGTGCAGGTCAGTGAGAGGGAGACCCAGGCTTTGCAGAGTGCAGGTCAGTGAGTGGGAGACCCAGGCTTTGCAGAGTGCAGGCCAGTGAGTGGGACAAAGGGCAAGCTGGGCGTTAGGACACACCCTACCAGGGGGAGCGCTCTTCAAAATCTGAAACTACCAAAAAATACACAAAATATTTGCCTAAAAGGTATAAAATATACAGGAAGGTACCATAATAAAGCCAAATAAAGGACAGGTGGATTCACTACATTAAAACCTGGAGAAGCGTATTCACAAGCACATGATAACACCAAAGAGGGTGGACAAATTAATTCCACCACGGCAATCGGCTGAAGAGAAAAACGTTCAGAATGTGGAGAAGCTTCAAACACAAATATGAATGGAGTTATCTAATTACCAGAGTGGCAGCATGAGGACCCCTAAACTTCTCATCGAAACAATCTCATCAGCTTAAAAAAATGAAAATCTCAACCATAAAAAGTCAATGCTAATTATTCTGAGAAAATACAGTGAATAAAAATTATCGATTGATAAAATGTGCGGCTG